TACTTCAGCCTATTCAACATCCTGTGTGACTGGGCCTTTGCCCCATTTAGCAGTGGGCCCACATATTCCCTAGTCTTCCTTTTGCTGCTCATGTACTTACAGAGGCCCTTCCTGATGCCTTTTTTATTCCCTTGCTTGTTGCCTTATTTCCTCACCAGACTCAGCTTCAGTTGGGCTTTGGCTTTCCTAACCCTATCACTGCATGCTCAAGCAAAGTCTTTATATTCCTCACGTGTTACCTGAATCTTCTTCCACTTTCTGTATACTTTTTTTTTTTTTTTTTAATATACTTAGTTTTTACATTTGAGTTTTGCCAGGAGCTTCTTATTCATCCATACAGGCTTTCTGGCATCTCTGCTTGACTTCCTGCTCATTGGGATGGACTGCTTTTGAGATTGGAAGAGATGATCCTTGAATATCAGCCAGCTTGCCTGAGCCTCTTTTCCTTCCATGGCCTTATTCTTTGGAACTCTTTCAGGCAGATTCCTGAAGAGTCTAAAGTCTGGTCTCCTGAAATCCAGGGTTGTGATCTTGCTTTTTGCCCTGCTCCCTCCTTATAGGATCCTGAACTTCACCATCACTGCAGCCAAAGCTGCCTTTCAGCTTCATATCCCTGACAAACCCTTCCTTGCAAGTATGAGGTTCAGCAGAGCATGTCTTCTCATTGGCTTCTCTATCACTTGTGTCAGAAAGTTGTCATCAGTGCCCTCCAGGAACCTCCTGGATTGCTTATGCTCTGGAGGTATTGAGGTGGTTAAAGTCCACCATGAGCAACAGGGTGTCTGAACATGAGACTTCTAGCTGTCTGTAGAAGGCCTCACTACTGTTTTTCTGAGAAGGCAACCTATAGCAGAAAGCCACTACAGTGTCACCCATACTGGGTTGTTCTTTAATCCTCACCCATAATCTCTTAGTTTGTTCCTCATCCATCTTCAGAAGAGCTCCATGCACTCCAACTGCTCTCTCACATAAAGGGCTACTTGCCCTCCTCATCCTCCTACCCTGTCCTTCCTAAAGAGCCTATATGTCTTCATTACAACACTTCAGTCATGGGAACCATCTCAAACAATCCCATATGATAACACCTATAACATGAATGTCCTGCTTAAAAGAACAAACTTATTTAAGAAACAGGTACTCATCTTATCCAATAGTCATTTCAGCCTCAAAAAGCTTTGGCAAATCTGTTAGGTCTGAGTGAAAATTACCAAGGAACAAAAAAGACAAGGAATGGAAGGGAGAACCAGCAGCAAATGTACATAATTTCTTTAAGGAACAGCATGGTTAAGTATTCAGTATCCTATCCAGATCCTGGATAATATAAAAGCTGTGGGCCTAAAAAAACAGTCTGACAGACTTCACAGACTAATCTCATTTATCTTCCACAGCTACACCATAATCTTCTGAACAATGTCAGAGGTATTACTGCAGCATTGGACTAATAGGAGTGAACCAGGTTCAGGCTTTGTAATTTCATGAAGTCACTGGGTTATCTGAATGCATAATTTCCACCACAAAAACATTAGTATTTGAGTTCAAGTTTCTATATGTTGACTTAAAGGTGCTCTTACCTAATACTGAAGATATCCTTTTGGAAGCAATTATTTGCAGTGGTTTTATTCGTGATTGCTGATGTTCCTGCTATAGGAGCACCATTACCAGATAAATCCACAGCCCCTGCTGAAGGCTGAGATTTCTTACTGCCTGGAGTGAATTTTAAATGTAAACTATGCTGTCTAGGAGGTGGTGGTTTTTTTTTTTTTTTTGACAAAGTGAAAAAGCAGCAGTAATAATAATAATAATAGTCATAATAATAGTAATAATAAACAGAGCGCACATTTTAAGTAGTGGAAATCTATAAGTACGTATACCTGTCAAGAGCCAAAACTACATTCAGAATTGCTAGTGCCCTCTTCAAAATTCTGTGAAGCAAATTGGTTTAAATCAGTAAGCCAGACAGCTCAGCAAATACATTTAACTTGTAAGTATGTCAAGAAAATGCACCAGAGTAAAACTCATACAAGAAAATAAGAGAATAACCTTACTGTAACTACCAGCTGAAGATGAATTTTTCGGTATGTCCCTCAGAGTGACATGGACTACTGTGGAGTTGTGTCTCTGTGGAGTCCATACAGATAGAAAAATGTCACTTTTTATGGCCTGCTGCCCTCCCTAGGAAACAGATATTCAGACATGTATTGCGCCTTGGTGTCACTTGAAACAAGGACCTTAGCCAAAGTTCACTGAAGTCAATGGGAGGCTTTCCATTAACCTTGCAGTGGTTTAGGTCAGGCTCTTACTTTAGCACCTGGCTAATTATAAGCACATGAACATGGTAACTGACATCCAAGGGACTACCCCTGTACCCAAAAGGATAATAAATCAAGGTCTAATTGAAGAACCTCAAATGTTAGGGTCATAATAATAATGGAAAAAATCAGAAGAGATATTCCAGTCCTATCTATTAAATTTTATAAATGTACATTTACTAGTCTTAAAGAAAAAAGAAGTGAACACTTTTGCATATATAAATACAAGTATATTACAGACAACAAGAAGCTTATAGGCAATCAAGAAGGCCACAGGTAAGGAAACAAGTTGTGTTACCCAAAGTCTCCTGCTAATTGGATGTCTCTGGAGGCTGGTCGCCAAAAGGAAACACTAGATACATAGACTTAACTGACATTTAGATTACATGAATTAAAATTATAAGAAAAGCTTTAAATGACAAGGGCTGAAAAACAGTATGCAAAAAATAGATTTTCTACTTCTCTAACCCCTGAAACATCATCACATTGCCTGTCACTTTTCTTCAAGTCATGTATGGCCTTCCACCCGTATGTTCAAGCACACATTGAATAAGGATCTTTCAAGAACATCTTTTCACAGAGAACTTTTATTAAGAAACAATATAAATCGCATAATAAAAATGTCATCACTTGTGGGGAAAAAAAAAGGTTGCAAAGTGAAAAACAACAGCATAGTATCAGTGTGAACACAAACCGAGAAAGACAAGGAGAGCTTTTTGATCAGGTTGCTTCTCCTGCCATAAACAAATGTTCTCCATGTTGTGCAGAAATAAAAGCAAATGGACTTATGTGCAGTGGGTGGCTGCAATGAAAAGCTGTTATTTTTCAATTGTGCCAAAAACATTTTGTTTCCTTCTCAAAAAGATCTCAAAAAGAGATCTAGATTAATCTAGGGTGAAGAATTTTAGAATATGGTTTCAGAGTAGTTTATAAAGATCCACATCTCTTTTCTGAAAACAGGAGCAGAGAATCTATTAATCACACATCATTTGTCACCACCACTATGCCCAAAAACACATTTGTGTATCATTCTGTTGGCCCAAAAAATAAATAAATGTTTGAGTCTCCCTTTGAGTCTTTTCATGTATATCTGACAGAATGCATCAAGTCTTCATCTAAATCTTCTGCTTTTTTGCCTTTTTTCAAACTCTGTGTATCTGAAATTTTGCATTATTTATGGCAAGTTAGTTTATCTGCAAAGCCTCCCTTGCAGTAACTTCAAACACGTTTGCACCTGGTGCAAATCTCTTGCAACTAAGCCTGATCTATGTCAGATAACCAGATGATCAACCCAGATCTTTGGAAAACATGAGGCAGAGTGCACTGTCACTTTTGCTGCAATTATATTCTTCTATGGAGTGCAAATTCCGAGAAACTTGCTTACCAGAAACTTGCCGGAAGGAAATTTTAATGGAAGAAACTATTTAAAGCTGAGCACGTGCTTAAAGCACTGTCCTGAATAGAGCTGAATTTTACCATGTATTCGTGTACTTTGCAAAATCAGAGTTCCTATCGCTTCCTCAAAAAACAGCTGCCGGTATGAAGAAGTGACAGCAGAGGCACCACGGAGATTGGAGGAAGGGAGGCCATAGTCACTAGGCCTAGTGCTGGCCCTGGCAGCTGGTCGTCCCTTAGCAGCCTCCATAGAAAATAGAGAGAAAGGCATTTTGGTGGCATGCAGCACCTAGAGTAAAGCAGGTGTCAGTGGCCTTGGGTTGCCACTGGAGGAAGCTAGGAAAATTGCCATCCTCCAGATCAAGTTAGTCTTTGTGAATGCTCTCCTTAATCTTTGAAATAGCAACTTCAATTGGACCGTTCGATATTTTCAATATATTCATCAATGACCTAGATGAAGGGATAGAGTGTACCCTCAGCAAATTTGCTGATGACACAAAACTGAGAGGTGTGGCTGACACACCAGAAGTCTGTGCCGCCACACAGGGAGACCTGGACAGGCTGGAGAGTTGGGCAGAGAGGAACCTGGTGAAATTCAAAAACAGCAAGTGTAGGGTGCTGGACCTATGAAGGAATAATCCCAGTACAGGTTGGGGACTGACCTGCTGGAGAGCTGGTGGACAACAGGATGACTATGAGGCAGCAATGTGCCCTTGTGGCCAAGAAGGCCAACGGCATCCTGGGGTGCATCAAGAATAGTGTGGCCAGCAGGTCGAGGGAGGTTATCCTCCCCTTCTACTCTGCCCTGGTGAGGCCGCATATGGAGTACTGTGTCCAGTTCTGAGCTCCCCAGTTCAAGAAGGACAGGAAACTGCTAGAGAAGATACAGCAAAGGGCTACAAAGATCATTAGGGGACTAGAACATCTCTATTATGAGGAAAGGCTGAGGGACTTGGGTCTTTTTAGTCTGGAGAAAAGAAGACTGAGGGGGATCTAATCAATGCCTATAAATACTTAAAGGGTGGGTGTCAAGAGGATGGGGATTGTCTTTTTTTAGTGATGCCCAGTGACAGGACAAAAGGTAATGGTCACAAACTTGTACATAAGAAGTTCCATTTAAACATGAGGAGGAACTTCTTTACTTTGAGGGTGGCAGAGCACTGGAACAGGCTGCACAGGGGGCTGGTGGAGTCTCCATCTCTGCAGACATTCAAAACCCACCTGGACATGTTCCTGTGCAACCTGCTCTAGGTGGAGCAGCTCTGGCAGGGAGGTTGGGCTAGGTGATCTCTAGGGGTCCCTTCCAACCCCATACCATTCTGTGATTCTGCAATTCACTAGTACTATTTTGCATGGGAAGACATATTGAATAGAAGTTATTTGTGGCCACAGGTAAATTAAAAAATCAAGAGACTAAAGCTAGTTATATATTTTCATCTTATATGTAATCCACAAACATTTTAAGTTCTGCAAAACATAGATGAAAAGAATATTCTTTCACATTGACTTTAGTAATGACTTGGGTATTTAGTAATGACTCAGGGAGGCAGATACCGTATATTAAATAACACAGGAATGAAAAGGACATGGTAGAGCACAGAGTTGTATATATCCTTCAGCTGAGAAATGGCTGTCAACAAAACTTATAATTTGGTTATAATTATTATTTCTCCACTCTTTCTACTCAGCTGAATTAATTTAATCTGAGGGAGACAGAAGTGTTATTTAAGATCATGTTTCCTTGTGTTACATATGCTTTAAAAATAAGAGAAAAAAAAAAAAAAAAAAGGATTCCTTATGCACCAGTTTGGTAAATTATTTGATCCAAGGAATTAGGAAGCAAAGCCTTAAACTAAAGCATTGTCAGGCACTGGAAACCAGAGACAATCCAGAGAAAAATCCAGAGAAAAACTAAATGCCATTTCTATAACAAGCTGAAATCCAAAATCTGATTTTTAGGAAAGAGTGTGAGGTGCCAGCCAGGGCTGCACTTTTATTCAGTAGAGTGCCTAGGCAAATTATTAATTTTAAGCAAATTCTTCAGTTTCATTGATCTCAAGAACATTTTCCTGAGGTCAAAATAGAATGTGATGAAGAGGTCTGGATTTAAATATATGCTGATTTACAGTCTGAATGTAAATCAGTATCAAATTTTGCTTTTAGGATCCATTAATAATAGCTGGTACTGTATTGCAAGACAGCAGAACCAGAATATATGAACCCTCTAGCTCTTCACACCTTCATCAGTGATGAGATGCAGTCAGCATCAGCTCAAGCAACCTGGGGGGTCCAGCCATGTTAGTTCCTTTTCCTGTTTTAAATCTGATTTACTTACATGGTGGAAAAAACAGGATTGATATTTATTTTTTAAATATCCAGCTTTTTCCTAACCTGCCAAAACCAGATATTAATGTCAATTAATTGACTCCTTCATTGTTATCCTTTTTTATGAAGATATGAAAGTTGTGGATTACTAATACATAGGGACAATGACACAACTAAGAAATATGTTGCAAAAAGCCATATGGGAATACAGAAGTGTTTATTAAGATGACATACAAATATGCTGGTGTATTTAGATTATGCAGAAGCTTTAAAAGTCTGTGGTGGATAAAAGTGAAGTTTTAAGATGATAAAATAACTGACAAATGGAGCAGATATTAATGTTTATTAAATAGTTACATTTGTCATATAAGGCTGTAGATTTGACATGAAATGTATTGCACATAAATAGTAATATACATTATAGATCCCTCAATGTTCTGTTTTTCTGTCAGTAAAACTTTTTCTGCCAGTCTGAAAGAGGGATCTGCAGGCTTCTGAGATAGGAATCAGTATGGGCTGAAGTGTGGGGAGTTTGACAAAACAGCACACAGGAAGAACAAATATCAAACCAGAATGACAGAGAAATGACAGAGAAAAATGAAACCCAACAACTTATCCTGTGAAGAAACTTAGCATATAGGGGATGGGAAACCATGCTGGAGCTCTGAAAGTGAAAAAGAGGATTAGTGTTGTAGCCAGGTGTCAGGAAGTGAAAGCCTCCAGTGGCTTTTGAGGACTCCAGTGTCAAGTCATGAAACCAAAGACAAAAATACTGCTCTCAGTAGATGTCATCTACGCCCTGCAGATGTCAGGTCAGCACCTCAGAGAGACTACTTTTATCTTTGTCCTCATAGCAAACTCTTCCGAAGCGCAATGATTTTGCTTCTGAAATTCTCCAAATGCATTTTCCTGCTGAACACTCTTTACACTGTGTTCATTTCCACTGTCATTTCAGGAAGCATTCCCTGTGCTATTCACATGACGATGTGCTAGCCTGCATCCTTAGCAGAGGCTCAGAAAGGCTTCTTGCAGGGCAGTGAGGAAACATGTAAGAGAAGCCTGATCCTAGGACAGCAGTGCAGCAGAAAAGTGGCTCCTGAGCTTAACACAGAGGAGTCAAAGGAATGCTCCTACTTCAACTTGTGTATCAGGCGTTGGCAGGCAAAAAACACCTGGCATATTCTCAGGAGACAGTATGAGACAGTATCAGATGGGCTGTATGATTTGAGACTGTACCTCAAGCAAAAGAAAGGTGGACACAGGAGCAATTATGTTGCTATCCCACTGGGGACCTCTGAATCTTAGGACTCACCAGCTTTAGGTCTCTGTGCTTCAGCAGGTTCCTCTAAAGTTGCTCTAATACCTATTCTGTATAAACATCTAATTCAGCCTGATCAAAAATTTCCAGCAAACTGGAAACTGTCTCAAATAATTTTGTTTTCTTCTTCCACTGAATTGGAAGAAAATGATTTTTTCAGAAATGGGAAAAAACATAAGATTCACTGTGATTTCCTTTCTACTGTGAAAAACACACTGTGACATTCCTAATAGGAAAGCATGTCTGGGTTTCTACACTGTATCTCTTTGGGAAAATGCACACCCCTTAGCATATAAAAATTACTGGAAAGTGACAGGGGAATAATTTCAGGAGACCCTTGTCAAGTTATTAACAACACACTCCACAGAGAACCACAAAGAAAAGGGGAATCTCATAAAATACAAAAGGGCCAAGCTCTGAAAGAAAGTTCTGTCTTCTAATTCATTTTCTACATTCCCTCTTTGTTCTCAACCACAGAAACCTCCTTTTTAATTAAATTATCTGCCAGTAGAGAAATAAATGGAATTATAATGCACAAGAACACATTGCTACTTTAATATTCTACACTAATTATAAGACAGCACAAGGCACAGGTTTTTTACTTTTAAATACTGGCAAACCCAATAATTTTCATTTCTTAGGCATTTATCCATGTCGATTTTAGAACATGTTAAATTCATCATCACATCCTGAGATCTTTTTGCTCAGAAAGATATCAGGTGAGATTTCCATTTATGCTACATTTACATTTATATCCATTTTAAAGACCCTTTATCTCTGCCAGAATGGTTTAAATTGACCTTGCTGAAAGAAAGTAGGGTCTATATTGTATTTTAAAGAGCTGATTATTCAAAAAGGCATTGATTATACAGCAAAGTACGGTATATGACACAGAACCTCAGCTGGCTGATATTGTTGTAGTTTCATTTACAGCTGTCAAGTTATGCAGGTTTCCCTCAGCTGGGGATATAGTCATGTATATTTTGTGTAATTAGAGGATATATATTTTAAGCAATAACACACAGAGCTCTATTGTGTATATTTGGCAAATATTTCCAAACTTCAACCAACTGTGGAAACTGTGAGTTTGGAAGCTAAACATACCAATTACACCCAAACTATATCCATATACTCCTTTTATATTTTTTCACATCTTGATTAAACCATCCATTGTCTTGGAGATAATCCAAGTTTATATAATTGCATCTGAACACAGAATAGTATGAGGCTATACATAATTTATATAGATCATCACTAATTATTATGAAAAGACTCAGGTAGCTGAAGCTTATTTTTTTAATACCAGACATGATTTTCACTGTCATCTCCAAGGCATGCACAGACAGTGAACAATCCCATCTCCCTTTAGATTCTGGACACAGGTCTCAAAAAGAATTTACAAGGTTCATAGGCTTGGGATGGACAGTAGATTTGATCCCAGCAACACCAACTCCTGTCAGTGACGGTAGATGAAAATGGTGTTTGGGTTTTTTAAATTTAAAGTCTGTATTATTAAAATCAGCTATAATCAGTTGGGACTGAAGGCCCATTTGGGCTTTCATTTGCTGTGGTGAAACATCAGTTATCCCATTGTGCTCTGTGGAATTACTGTAGGGTTTTATTCTCATAAATGAGAACAGAATTTCTCTCTTAATCCTGCCTTTGAACCTAAGTGATTACAGCCTGAATTGCCTCTGTGAACGAGACAAATGCATGTCCCCATTTAACATATCCTACAGGTTTCACGGAATCATTTTCTGCAGCCTACACTGATTTCACAGGATTTTAACCAATCAAAAGATGGATTAAAAAGAAGAAGAGGAAGAAGAACTCTTCAAATCAGAATGTCCTGATTTTATTCTGGGATGGGTGTCCTCCGTAGTGACAGCCTCCCTGTGGTTCATATTGTTTCTAATGGTCTTAAATGGACACTACTGAAAACTCCTTCTTTGAAAAAAATCAATAAATATATCTTTGTGCTAAAGCACATAACTGTACAAAGAAAACAGAACAAAAGACAGCTGATGAAAACCATAGGTAGTAGCAGGTCCGACTATGTTTTATAATAAGATTCAGATATAGCTGCTGCAAACATTAAAGCAGAAAAGGGGCAAAAATGCACAGTGTATAATTTCAAAGTGACAACAATCAAAGTTCCTTGGTAAAAAAAGAAAAACATTACCCATTTTGTACTTGTTATGTAATTGTGCTTGTCCTTGGACACTGCGATCACACTCCCAGCAGTTTGGTGTAGAATTTTTATTACTTCTTTATATTTTGTCATCATCATCGCTATTTATTTTTTTGAAGGCGACTGGACTTGACTGCTTTAAAGAGGTTTTTGAAACATCCGTGTGCATGGTGGACATGGCTATAGTCTCATAATCTTCCTCACGGGAGCGGAAATGACAAAAATGAAATAAAAACTGCAGGTCCCTTTGGAAGTTCTTATTGAGAAATCCGTAGAAGATGGGGTTCACACAGGTGGAGATCATGGCAGTGAGGTGGCAAATCAGGAACAACAGGTTGTGGCTGCAGGTAGCAACAGGCAGAATTTCGTGGTTCCAATCAAACACGATATTGAAGATGGTGAGAGGCAGCCAGCAAACTGCAAATGCGACCACTATTGAGATCAGCATGATGTTGATCCTTTTGGTTTCAGAGGATCTGTACTTACTGTCTCTCATCTTGTCCATCATGTTGTTCCTTTTTTTTAATCGTATGTATATCTGCAGGAAATACAACACAGAGAAACATGTGGGATAATTTAACCTACAACCATCATCTTTGCAAGGATAAACAAACATCAGATAGAAACATATCACAAGGAGATTCTCTCTTACCTTTAAGTAGCAAATAAATATAAAACAAAGTGGTCCAAAGTACTGAATCACCAAAAGCGTCGTGGTATAAGAAAGCCTGGCAGTGTCCAAAGGAAATAGGTCCAAACACACATATTTGTCCTTATATTCATCAAATGTTATGTTTCTGAAGGGTTCATCCGTTAACACATGGTAGATCAGGAAAGGCAAAGAGGAAGCTGTAGCTAAAATCCATATGGCAGCTATCCCCATGTAGGCATGTCTGTTGTTCGGCCTCCAGCCACGGGGATTGATGATCAGCTGATGGCGTTCGATAGCAATGAGGACTAAAGAAAAGACCGAGACAGTGATTGAGGCACATTGCACAAAAGGATTCAATTTGCACATGGCCTCCCCAAAAATCCAGTGGTCCATTAAGGTGTACACAAAGGTAAAGGGAAGACACATGATGGTTACGAGAAGATCAGAAAAGGACAGGTTGACAATGAGGATGTTGGTAACGTTGCGCATCTCCTTTTGTTTTAAAATAATGACAATCAAGGCCAGATTCCCAGAGACTCCCAGAATTATCACGGTCCCGTAAGCCAAGGCCAGAGTGAAGACCATGGCCAAAGGCACATGGCAATCCTCGTCCTCAAACTGCAAGATCTGCGAGTTCCTCTCCGAAAAATTCAGGTGACTGGAAATATTTCCCAAGGGGGCGAGCACCGAAGTGTTCATGTTGTTTCCAACTCTCTGTGCGCCGCTCGCCGCCGCCGCTGCCATCCGGACCTCTCCCTCAGCCCCTCAGGAGACCCTCGGCCGAGCCCCCTCCTCGGGGCCGCATCTCCCTCGCACCACCTGGGGGAGAAGGCAAGGAGCAGGGACGGTCACTCCCGCACACGTCACCCCGCACCCTCACCCCCCGCGCCCGCCCTTCCTTCCCCGGCGCGGAGCCGTGGAGCAGCGGGGTCCCGCGGGGGAGCGGACCCCAACCCCGGGATCGGGTAACGTGCGGCGCCGCCGCTTCCCCCGCGGGTTGGGGGTCACCCACTCAGCCGCCTCTTCCCCTGCGGGTGGGGGTCACCCACTCAGCCGC